TAAAAAACTGTTCGCTAGGCGTAGGCAAGACCATAAGCAAATAGGTAAACTGGGATAATACTAAAGAGTTAATCAGGGTGATTTTTCCACAAATTGACAGGTATTTTCCTTTCCATGGTAGTAAGATCTTATCTATTTTTGCTAACTTTCTATTAAAATTTATTGAAGTGAGATGATTTATTTCCTTTGGGATACGTATTCCGAGTATATCCACATCACCATCAGACCATTTTATTGGTAAACTACATGGTAATGTAAAAATTGTATTTTTTAGTGATCCAATACGTAATATAGTACATTTGTCATAATTTGGTTGTAATCCAGAGAGGTTAGAAAATGTATCTAGATCCTCTATGAGGCTGTGGAGGGATTCTAGTTGTGGATTTAAAAGAAAACATGAATCATCAGCGTACAATGACACCTTTGTTTTTAAGCCCTGTAATTCTAATCCTCTGATATTATTATTGGATCTGATTTTAATAGCTAACATCTCGATGGCCACAATAAATAGATATGCCGATAGTGGACAACCTTGTTTCACTCCTCTTGACAGTTTAAAACTTTCTGAGAAATAGCCATTATTTACTATTTTACACCTAGGGTTACTATACATGATTTTGACCCATTTTATAAGAGATTCTCCAAAATTGAAATGCTATCTAAAGATAGTTAATGGCAAGTAGTTTTAAGTCAACGTCCTTTAATTCTGGTCCAGGGAAAGTGCTCCCTTTCTAAGTATGTGTTTGCCTCCATTGTTCCTTGTGTCACTGACAGTTGTCACAAAGAGTATTTACTATCAACTCACTGCGATACTAGACCTTTGTCCAACGGTCACAAATGTCGGATTTTGGAACGTTGAATTATGACAAGAATTTACTTGCCTCGTCAAAATAATTACATTAGCCTATCAAAATGATGACTTCAATTACACAATAACCCGGGTGAAGTTTAGCCAACGCTTCAACTTGGTTAAAAAATGATTGGCACGTGTGTTTTTCTGTTGCTCATTAGAAAAACAAGATTTCAGTCTTGGAGGTGTGTTTCCTGACCAATTCGGCATTTGGTTAATGATGTTTGTCCCCCATGAGACGCTGTAGCCTATTTCACTTCCTCAAAATCCCCAGAATGAATCTAAGATAACTCCATAAATCTGTAATTATTTTTTTGCATTGTAGCTAAGGTGTTTGGTGCAGTATTTCTCAAGTTAAAAAAATGCGCGATGTGTTGTCATATGGAAACCAAGTTGTAGCTGCTGGGCAGTTCTGTCTCACTGTCCATGCTATTGGGTAGAGAGCAATCACCGCAGCTGTTCACCCCATGTTAGTGGGCAAATTGACATTTTTAAATCGAAACCCAACGTTCATTTACCCGATGTGCACGGATGTTCCAAACTCAGTTGTAGATGACTGACTTTATGACCAAAAGTAGTAGTCAATCTTGACACTAGAATAACTGTTTCTGACTCATATCAATGCTACATAGGCCGTTTTCAAAGGGATTTGTTGCTTTTTAAAGGCAGTCACTCTTTAAGGTTAGGGCAATGGTTAAGGGAGAAGTTACACGACAGTTAGACCTAATCACGTGATTCTGCGCATGCGTGTAGCCAGCTAATGTCACCATGATATCGCCTACATGTGTAATCAGGGATTTATATTCACTGTGAAAGTGATGGCAGCTTATACTTTACTTCCATATCCTTTCCCATGCTGTTTTGAAAGGGCTTCAAAATTATGTAATCAAATTCATTAAAAACACTGTCATTTAAGATATTGTAGCGAACAGCAGGGCAGGGATGTGAACCAGGGATAGACACTAAGGGTTGCCCTATTGTCTGGGGGAAGTGAACTGAGCAGTCGTGCTAGTTGAGCCTGCTCTGAGGTGATTTATAATTCCAGCCTAAAGCTGATTTTTCTCGATCCTCCCCGTTTTTTAAGTGAAAGTGAAAATGTAATTTATGGTATTCGAGCAAGTTGAGCCTGCTCTGCAAAACACCCAAAATACAAATAATTTCACAACAGATATTTCTGGTTCCTCCCCTATGTGTAGGTAAAAGGCTGGCAATACTGTATATAGCATTTCTGCATATAAATAGCTAATTTACATTTTGGGTCAAGTGATCATAATCTTTGGGCAACCAAAAATATTCCTGACTTGCCCAACGAGCAACACAGTGTCCCGTGTGTATCAACAATGGTCCACCACCCAAAGGACATCCATCCAACTTGACACAACTGTGGGAAGCATTGGAGTCAACATGGGCCAGAATCCCTGTGGAACACTTTTGACACTGTAGAGTCCATGCCCTGACGAATGGAGGCATGTTCTGAGGGCAATAGGGGGTGCAACTCAATATTAGGAAGGTGTTCTCAATGTTTTGAAAACTCAGTATATATACAATTATGTTCTGCTAAATGGCATATATACGTTTTTTTCAATCACTTTGGCACATTTTTCAAATGTAGGTGGTATATTTACAAAACTCTTAGTACAAAAGTCAAGACTGATATCACTTGTAATGCCCCCTGTCTTATGTTCAAAATCTTTGATTGAGCACTCTTTGGTGTTGAACACATCTTCCACCCCTGAGTCATTCATCCGAAATATTTTTTTTTGTTTACGTAAAATACCATAGTTTAGTGACAAGATGCAGGCTTCCTTATTGTTCCAAGAATTTCTAAGCAAGCAGCTGGAGGAAGGGCTTTTTCCTAATGAGCTCGTCTTTCATGGAATGGTCTGCCGATCCATGTGAGAGACGCAGACTCTGTCTCAACCTTTTAAGTCTTTACTGAAGACCCATCTGAAGACTTACTGAAGACTCATCTCTTCATTAAGTCCTATGATTGAGCATAGTCTGGCCGAGAGGTGCAAAGGTGAACGGCAATAAGGCAATGAAGTGACGAACCACCCTTGCTGTCTCCCCACTCTCCACTGGGATTCTCTGCCTCTGACCCTATTGAGGGGGCTAACTCACTGGCTTGCTTGCGCTTGCCGTTGCCATCTCTTGGAGGGAGGTGCTACCTTGTCCCGGACCTGCTGTTTCAACTCTGTCTGTCTCTCTCTTTCTCTCTCTCTCTCTCTCTCTCTCTCTCTCTCTCTCTCTCTCTCTCTCTCGCGCGCTCTCGGGCCTGCTGTCTGGACATCTGAATGCTTGGCTATGAAAAGCCAACTGACATTTACTCTTGAGTTGTTGATCTGTTGCACCCTCTATAACCACTCCCCTTTGCGTCGTGCCTAAGAACAGCCCTTAGCTGTGGTATATTGACCAATATAACACACCGCCTCTGACCTTATTGCCTAAATATACAATTCCAGTGATACAACTAGTGGTGTATTTTTTTGAACTGTTAATGGTAACCACAGATCACGATATATATACAGTGCTATGAAAAAGTATTTGCCCCCTTTCTAATTTTCTCTACTTTTGCATATTTGTGATACTGAATGTTATCAGATCTTCAACCAAAACCTAATATTAGATAAAGGGAACATAAGTGAACAAATAACACAACAATTACATATTTATTTCATAAACAAAGTTATGCAACACCCAATTCCCCTGTGTGAAAAAGTAATTGCCCCCTTACACTCAATAACTGGTTGTGCCACCTTTAGCTGCAATGACTCCAACCAAATGCTTCCTAAGTCTCCCGAGTGGCGCAGTGGTCTAAGGCACTGCATCGCAGTGCTAGCTGTGCCACTAGAGATCCTGGTTCGAATCCAGGCTCTGTCGTAGCTGGCTGTGACCGGGAGACCCATGGGGCGGTGCACAGTTGTCCAGGGTAGGGGAGGGAATGGCCAGCAGGGATGTAGCTCAGTTGGTAGAGCATGGTGTTTGCAACGCCAGGGTTGTGGGTTCAATTCCCACGGGGGGCCAGTATGAAAAAAAAAAGAAGAAAAAAAAGGTATGCACTCACTAACTGTAAGTCACTCTGGATAAGAGTGTCTGCTAAATGACGTAAATGTAGTTGTTGATCTAAAATGTAAATGTAGTTGTTCCTTGTTGATCAGTCTCTCACGTCGCTGTGGAGGAATTGTGGCCCACTCTTCCATGCAGAACTGCTTTAACTCAGTGACGTGTGGCATTTCAAGCATGAACTGCTCGTTTCAAGTCCTGCCACAACATCTCAATTGGGATTAGGTCTGGACTTTGACTAGGCCATTCCAAAACTTCAAATTTGTTGCTTTTTAGCAATTTTCATGTAGACTTGTGTGTTTTGGATCATTGTCTTGCTGCATGACCCAGCTGCGCTTCAGCTTCAGCTCACAGAAGGATGGTCTAACATTCTCCTGTAGAATTCTCTGATACAGAGCAGAATTAATGGTTCCTTCTATTAAGGCAAGTCGTCCAGGTTCTGAGGCAGCAATGCGTCCCCAAACCATCACACCACCACCACCATGCTTGACCTTTGGTACTGTGGAATGCAGTGTTTGGTTTTCGCCAGGCATAATGGGACCCATCTCGTCCAAAAAGTTGACTCAAGTTTGCTAAAAAGCACCTGGATGATCATCAAGACTCTTGGAAGAACGTTCTATGGACAGATTATTCAAAAGTATAACTTTTTGGACGACATGGTTCCAGTAATGCCTGGCGAAAACCAAACTCTGCATTCCACAGTAAGAACATCATACCAAAGGTCACGCATGGTGGTGGTGGTGTGATGGTTTGGGGATAAAACAGGGTACGTTGATTTAGTAATCTGTTTTATTTTATTGATCCTTTATTTAACCTGGATCAGTCACATTGGGATTTTTTTTCCAACTGATATTTACTCCTGAGGTGCTTACCTGTTGCACCCTCTACAACCACTGTGATTATTATTTGACCCTGCTGGTCATCTATGAACGTTTGAACATCTTGGAGAACGATTTGGCCTTAATGGTCACAGCCAGAAGAAGACTGGCCACCCCTCAGAGCCTAGTTCCTCTCTAGGTTTCTTTCTAGGTTCCTGCCTTTCTAGGGAGTTTTTCCTAGCCACAGTGCTTCTACATCTGCATTGCTTGCTCTTTGGTGTTTTAAGATGGGTTTCGGTATAAGCACTTTGTGACAACTGCTGATGTATAAGGGCTTTATAAATAAAACAAATTAGATGTTTTATTGATTTTTCAAGTGAGCCCTGGACTTAATGTAGCAACGTGTAACAAAGATAAAGATCCATAATCAATCAAAGTTAGAAACCTGGCTCTAGGGTAGGAGAAAAACAAACCTATTTACTGGATGAGAAACCATGAATGATTTAATGTGCAATAAGTACAACGTTTATTTCACTATAAACACACACCATAGAATGCATGCATCCAAGCATGTTTACAGGGCAAAAATAATGGTGTCTGAACTTGATTGAAAATGGGCTAAGTTTGTGCTAAAGAAATGTTCAAAAAGTTATTATATTTAAAAATGCATACAGTATCAACATTCTAGAATATAAATTATGACAAACTATGTGATGAAACAATTCACAAGTTAGATCTGTAGAATTGTTGCTGTGTAACAAATAAAACTTCCACAAGGTATTTTCTCTTCACTGAAAACATGGTGGATCTGAGCATGGTGGACTTCAGACTTTAAATGGTCAAGTGTAAAAAAAAACTATATTTTCTATTTCTGTCACTTACATGTTGGCTCTGATTTGTGCATCATTATATAATACAACAAAGAGAATTGGATAAACAAAAAGATGAAGAAACGAATAGATGAAAAAGCGCAAATACAGTGTGTTGATTGGACAACAGGCCCAAATAAACAGACCATTCAAGCTAAAGCAATATGGCACGGCATGCAGGCATCACTCCATGGAACACATAGCTGTGTGTGTTCCAGTTCTTTTAATGGCTTCCTCTACTCATGCCCACTACTGTGCCACACTGCCAGGTGCTTCTCAGACCGGTGGTCATAAAGGAAAGGAGACATAGGCCTAGGAAACCATTTAAGATAAATTGAGACGTGGCCTCACACAGACTTGATCATCATGCGGCTGGCTTGGGCTGAGTATGGGGCAGGTCCTTTCCAGGTCTCCCAGTGGAGGCCGGAGGCCCAGCCGATGTGTTCGCCGGCGGGGTGCCAGTCTCCGTTCAGGCTGGCAGAGCCACAGCGGCTGTACCACCACCCTCCTCCTCCCTCCGAGAAGCTGCATGTGTTCTCGGCGATGTCGCCAAAGATGCAGGGCGAGCAGCCATCATTGTCCTTGTCGGTTGTGCTGAAGCCAAAACCATTCTGGTCAATGCCGGCGTATTTCCCACGAATGGCATCACCTACGGAGATACAGGGAGTGATGAAGAGAGAGAACATTAGTCCTACTTCTAATTCACTCTTAATTGTATTGACTTCAAAGGCATACAACATTTAAGAATATCAACCCAGCATACATACCATATGACATATATATGTGATGTGTAGAGGTCCCATTGCTGCCACCAAATGTGAAATAACTATAACACTGAAGTAAATAATATGACCACTGTCACCTTGTGCTGTTGAAATTCACCATTACCTGCGTTGCCCCTGTAGGCTCCAACGTTCAGCTTGTAGGCCTCATTCTCCCTGCCCAGACGGAAGTCACTGTACTCAGCGAAGGCAGTGCCCCCTTCAAAGTCCCACAGGTCGACCCGCATGGTCGATCTCCGCCCCTTGCCCCCCTTTGTTAGAGCAAACACCTTGTTCAGACCCAGCCAGTGGTCCTCTAGGAAACAACAGCAAAGAGAACTGAATTGAGAAGAGTAGAGTACAGGGAACCCTCTATAAGTTGCCTTAGATGTAAACATGAGTATTATAGACAAAAATTAGTTGCTGGTGAAATGTGATGTGCTCAGAGGGACCCTTCTTTACTCCGTAGATGCCCAAAGCCTTGTTTGTACGCGGCCCACTTCCTGTTGAAAAGAACCTCTGCCCCGGTGCGCCTTTGAAAGACTGTCCAGCCTCCGTCCGCCAGCATCTCACAATACACCTGTATACAATAAAAATGTACTTTTGAATCAACAAATTGTTTTTTTGTGAACAAAAACGATACAAGAATGGAACCCTGTGGAACTCCTGTAACTCTGGCAAGCCTGGCGACACCTTCAACATTCCATAGCTAAGCTTTACTGCCTCTGTGTGGTTGTGTAACCAAATGAGAAAAGTAAATGTAGTACCTGGCCTAAATATTTCGCTGTTTCCATACCTTAAAGGGAGATCTGACCCCTGCAGGCTGAATGACATACACTCCACTAGTGGCTCGAGGGGAGAGAGTTTTGATCTGTGTGCAATCTGTCCCTGAAACAAGGAAACGCACATGCTCATGCATGAACATATTGTAATAGGCAGAATGGTTTTCTCTTGTCTTTCCAATGTAAGTGATGTTTTGAAAATAACTAACACTTACCTTGAACAACTAAAGGTGTTTTCTGGCCCTGTACAAAACCAGCAGATAAGTAATGGTTACTCCCAGGGTTAAAGGAATAACATGTTTCTCTGTTTATCAGTGTTGACTGACTGTGTTCTTACCTGAGTCTGGTCAGTGAGGCAGATGAGACAGACCACCAGTCCACCAAAAATAATCCTATTCCACATTTTGTCAAATTTTCTGAGAGACAGAGGGAGAGATGAAAATGTCATTTTAGTTACATTTCTTCTGCTGTTTCCTGTGTGACCCAACGCTGTAAAAATGCAATGTTCCCTAAATTGCATCCTGTACAGGTCCCAAACTAAGAAATAATCTAAAACACTACATACTTCATCTCCTTAGACCCAGAGCTATCTCTTAGTAGTATTTGGTGTGTGTTAGTATGATTATTGTGGCATCAGTAACCTCTTATACATTAGAAACCTGTCCACTCATCTGCAACCACACTGGTCCCCTACACAAGCAAGCACATGTTGTTGGCCATCCATGCAAGTAAATTACTTGAAATATATATTTTTTCTGTCTTCTCTAAGATGTAGTGATTATGTAGAAAACAAAAATTGAGAAACAAACAGAGCTACTGTAGTTTTGTAAGTGTTACAAAAATGCAACATTTGGCTTAAAGGGTTGCTAAACTGAGACACAGGGCCACATTCATTTATTGACATACAATTAGAGAGATTGTTTCCCTTCCAAATTCTGCAAATATGGACAATCAAATACTTCAGAAGTAACTTTGATGTCCCCTCTACACATCAAAATAACAGACATGTATATCTTACAAAAAAAATACATTATATGCTTTTGATAGCGAAATACTTAAATTTGTATAGGTCGAGTTGTATCAGTTTGGCTATTTCAGATAAAATAGGACATCATTTCAGATGTATATACCATTAAACAATACACTGAGTGTACAAAACATTTGGAACACCTGCTCTTTCCATGACATAGACTGATCAGGTGAATCCAGGTGATAACTATGATCCCTTATTGATGTCACTTGTGATATCCACTTCAATCAGTGTAGATGAAGGGGAAGAGACAGGTTAAAGAAGGATTTTTAAGCCTTGAGACAATTGAGACAAGGATTGTGTATGTGTGCCATTCGTAGGGTGAATGTGCAAGACAAAATATTTAAGTGCCTTTGAACGGGGTTTGGTAGTTGGTGCCAGGTGCACTGGTTTGAGTGTGTCAAGAACTGCAATGCTGCTGGGTTTTTCACACTCAACAGTTTCCCATGTGTATCAAGAATGGTCCACAACCAAAAGGACATCCAGCAAACTTGACACAACATTGGGAAGCATTGGAGTCATCATGGGCCAGCATCCCTGTGGAAGGCTTTCGACACTGTAGAGTCCATGCCTCGATGAATTGAGGCTGTTCTGAGGGCAATAGGGGGTGCAACTCAATATTAGGAAGGTGTTCCTAATGTTTTGTACACTCAGTGTACGTTCCATCACATGTAAATGCTTTTGATACATTTTGATGTGATTTTAATAGATTTTCACAGTTTTCTTACCACCATTCTTTTCCTACCATTGAAGCCCAATGTTGCATTTTTTGCAACGTTTCCAGAAAAAACTGATTAAATAAGAAAAAATGAATATTATCAAAATCAGAGGCAAGTATTTCTGAAGGGTAATCAATTGTTTTTCCTCATTTGGATCTATACTTGGGTCTCAAAGGGTGTCACTGTTATCACATTAACATTTGTTTATTGTAATCCCACCCACATTATTATATTTTTGAATTGACTAAAAAAACTTATCCTAAACTTTTGCAAAATGTTGTGGCAAATATCCCCACATTATCACAGAGAACTTTAAACATATCCACTCCATTCACAAAACAGTAAATGCTGCCATCATTAGACATTTCACACAGCAAGTTATTATATTGCAAATTTGAAATTGTCATTGTGTGATTCATATATGTAGAGAAAACCTACCTCCTCCCGTGTAGTCCTTTATGGGATATCGTCTACGCCCGGTCAGTTTAAAGTTCATTCAGAGAGGATTTCCTTTAAGCCTCTTTATTTATTGACTCAAGCACCGCCTACTGTACACACCCTCACTCCACGTTTCCAGTTTAGTGTTGTCAGTTGCCTCAAAGTATCACAGACAGTGCTCACAGACAGGGAGATTTCACTTAAGGGCCAATGGAAGGTTCTACAATGTGCAAACTCCTCCCAACCTGGGCACCGGGCCATGCAAAATGAACTTGCCCATAGTGTTGTTGTGGAAAAACACTGTGCTAATGTTATTGTGTGCTCTGTGAGCCCTGTTGCTGTTACTTAGAGCCCCCGTCCCAAAGCAAACACTCTTGAAATTCCAATGCTGGACTTTACAGGAAATTACAAACAGCCAGGAATACACACAGCACAGTCCAATGAACAAAAAATACAATAAAATAAAAGTATGGACACTCTTGTTACCAACTCCATATGTATTTATCTCTCAAATGTCTGTAGATGTACCTTATTCAAAAACAATTGCAGTGTTTGTCATGAGAATTTTGTTATCTCAATGGTTGAAGTCAACTACTTCTTAAATCTTTGAATAATTCCCAGAGGTTGTAAATCTCTAGTTTAAATAATAAATTAAACAAAGACCCCTTTCTGCAATGGTCAGCCTTTATTAATGAGAGCGCTCTGCCACAAAATGGACGCACAATATTTTTATACACACACATCAGAGGAAAAATCCCACCCCGCTTTAGGCGGGCTGTATTTTTCCACTGTACACATCTTGTAAGCTCACACCTGGGTTTAGCTCATGTGGTTATCCTCTGCTCTCCTGACCATCAGGTCACACACACACACACACACACACACACACACACACACACACACACACACACACACACACACACACACACACACACACATACACACACACACACACACACATGTTCTTATCATAGCCTACTCCTTGCTCGGTCAGGCTGCATTTTCTCTCTATTCCCATACATAGTTATCGCTGTTCTCACAATATTCTGCAAGCCTTTCACTCCCCACCACAGTACATGTGTTAGTTAGACTGTATTTTGTGGGTTGGTTGTAGCTATCAGGACAGTCAAATCAAGCCCTTTTATGACAACACTCCAAATGAGGATAATATAATGTGGCACATTGGCTGCGTACTGAGCACTGTTCTGTATGTACTATAAATATTAAACAAACATACAACAATATCTACATTCTGAAAAAAAATGTGAAAAAGCTAATCTCAATCAAATCAAGAATAATTTAAAGATACAGCTGAATATAAAGTAATGATAGGTTTATTAAAATGTAACATGGTAGAGCAAGTTATCAATAAGCAATACCAAACCTGCTGTACATTAATATTTACATTCATAGTTTTAAAAGCACATCAAAGTGCAGAACAAACTCATTTTAAAGCATATTTTTTCCACTTTCAACATATCACATAATATAAATTAACATAAAGTTGAAGTCAGAACTATACATACACTTAGGTTGGAGTCATTACAACTTGTTTTTCAACCATTCCACATATTTCTTGTTAACAAACTATAGTTTTGGCAAGTCGGTTAGGACATCTACTTTGTGCATGAGACAAGTAATTTTTCCAACAATTGTTTACAGACAGATTATTTCACTTATAATTCACTGTATCACAATTCCAGTGGGTCAGAAGTTTACATACACTAAGTTGACTGTGCCTTTAAACAGCTTGGAAAATTCCAGAAAATGATGTCATGGCTTTAGAAGCTTCTGATAGGCTAATTGACATAATTTGAGTCAATTGGAGGTGTACCTGTGGATGTATTTCAAGGCCTACCTTCAAACTCAGTGCCTCTTTGCTTGACATCATGGGAAAATCAAAAGAAATCAGCCAAGACCTCAGAAAGAAAATGGTAGACCTCCACAAGTCAGGTTCATCCTTGGGAGCAATTTCCAAATGCCTGAAGGTACCACGTTCTTCTCTACAAACAATAGGGACCACACAGCCATCAAACCGCTCAGGAAGGAGACGCGTTCTGTCTCCTAGAGATGAACGCACTTTGGTGCGAAAAGTGCAAATCAATCCCAGAACAACAGCAAAGGACCTTGTGAAGATGCTGGAGGAAAAAGGTACAAAAGTATCTGTATCCACAGTAAAACGAGTCCTATATCGACATAACCTGAAAGGCTGCTCAGCAAGGAAGAAGCCACTGCTCCAAAACCGCCATAAAAAAGCCAGACTATGGTTTGCAACTGCACATGGGGACAAAGATCGTACTTTTTGGAGAAATGTCCTCTGGTCTGATGAAACAAAAATAGAACTGTTTGGCCATAATGACCATCGTTATGTTTGGAGGAAAAACAGGGAGGCTTGCAAGCCGAAGAACACCACCCCAGCCGTGAAGCACAGGTGTGACAGCATCATGCTGTGGGGGTGCTTTTTGCAGGAGGGACTGGTGCACTTCACAAAATAGATGGCATCATGAGGAAGGAAAATTATGTGGATATATTGAAGCAACATCTCAAGACATTAGTCAGAAAGTTAAAGCTTGGTCCAAATGGGTCTTCCAAATGGACAATGACCCCAAGCATACTTCCAAAGTTGTGGCAAAATGGCTTAAGGACAACAAAGTCAAGGTATTGGAGTGGCCATCACAAAGCCCTGACCTCAATCCTATAGAAAATGTGTGGGCAGAACTGAAAAAGTGTGTGCGAGCAAGGAGGCCTACAAACCTGACTCAGTTACACCAGCTCTGTCAGGAGGAATGGGCCAAAATTCACCCAACTTATTGTGGGAAGCTTATGGAAGGCTACCCAAAATGTTTGACCCAAGTTAAACAATTTAAAGGCAATGCTACCAAATACTATTTGAGTGTATGTAAACTTCTGACCCACTGGGAATGTGATGAAAGAAATAAAAGCTGAAATAAATCATTATCTCTACTATTATTCTGACATTTCACATTCTTAAAATAAAGTGGTGATCCTAACTGACCTAAGACAGGGAAGTTTTACTAGGATTAAATGTCAGGAATTGTGAAAAACAGAGTTTAAATGTATGTGGCTAAGGTGTATGTAAACTTCCGACTTCAACTGTAACATTGTGTGAAATCTAGACTCAAAATCATTATTATTTTGGACAACCTTGCCTCTTGTATTAAGATTAATTACATCAAAAAAAAAAAAAAAAATGGATTCAAGAGATTGTGTGTAGATATGGTTTTTAACCAATGTTCTAAGATCAATACCATTTGTGGGTGTTAGTCAGATGATCAATGATTATGTTTCTGAATGTATGAGTTTATTTGTTTATATCTCTGCAATGATGCATACACTACATGTTGTGTGTGAAATAATCTAAATACATGCAAAAGTCAAGTGTGTGTGTGTGTGTGTGTGTGTGTGTGTGTGTGTGTGTGTGTGTGTGTGTGTGTGTGTGTGTGTGTGTGTGTGTGTGTGTGCGCGTGCGTGCGTGCGTGCATAGACACACAGTCAGGGTGCTCCTGGTCTCTCCAACCCAGACAGGTCACTGTTTTGACTGATTACCTGAGTCTTCATACACCATCAGTTTATTCTACTGATTGACATCCAGGAGCACTCTGAAGTATACAACTACCTCCCTTGACATTAACCCAACTGACTAGGAACAAAGAGGAGGGTTCCATCATTGAAAAGTGTAATGGACCTAGAACAGTGCCCTGAGGGACACCATCTACATCTTTCTCCACTGTCAGTTGAGTTTTGGGGTCAGGAGGCACTATGATGATCAGGTGACACAGATCTCTCGTGCCCACACAGGAGGCTTGCTGTCATATGGGACACCATTTTGGTTTCCAGCTGTCCTCCCCTCATCCTTCCTTCCCTCTTTGTCTTTCTCCATCCCTTTCTCGTCCCTCTCTCCAAATGTTTTAGGCCCACCAGGTAGTTCTGACTCAGGTTGGGCAGAGAAGGGGTTCTCTAGAACTTTTAGAACTCTGCGGACCTGAGAGATTGAACAAGAGTTGATTAAACTTAATGAGCAATGATATATATACAGGGTTCTGTACTAACGGATTACATGTAACAGGGATTACGTAATCAGATTACAAAAATGAAGTAACTAATCAACCCAGTTTACTTAAAAAATTAAATAAAAAAAGTTACTGTTAGTCTTAAAAACAGCTGAATACATTTTGGATTACTTCAACTAATAAGATGTGGGCTGCAAGTGTTTGACTCAAGCACACTGAAATGGGTCTTGCTCAAGGGCACATCAGATTTTTCACCCAGTCGGCTTGTGGATTCAAACCAGCGACCTTTCGGTTACTGGCCCAACTCTCTTAACTGCTAGGCTACCTGCTGTTACACAGCCCAGAAGTCACCTTTCAGTGTTAATGGAAGCTTTTCCCTTCCGTTCTAATCTATTTTAAATCTCCAAAACTGCCAAGTTCTCTCCTTGGTTGCTTTCCACAGAAAACGTTTTAAAAACTAGAAACGTCAGACCCCCACTTACTGAAAACTGAATCATCCCAAATTTCATCAGGATTTTTGGGTCAAAAGGATAATTTTGATTAATCAACACAGCTCCATCCTGTTCATTTCCCAAGTACTGGGATGACACACATGACAAATCAGCTGCTTACTCAGCTAAACCTCTAGTTTCAGTGGAAATGAGTACACTAAAATCTACCTGTCTGACTTTTCAGACAGATCTACGTGTTTTGCAAACTTAGAATAGTCTACATTCAAAGAATTTGCACAATTGATCATCCAACTCATGAAATAATCGGATTACTATTGGATCCGTTACATCTGTCTATTGACGTCTTTATCATGCTAGACTGTTATAGGTCAGACATGGGTGGGTCAGACATTCATGGTTGGGTCAGACATTCAAATGAACATTTCCTCTTTTACTGGCCACAATCTGCTTGGTGGCTGGGTGTAGTAGGCCTATTGATGAGTGTTGGGAATGCTTTCCCTGGAACTTGACAGTGAAGCTGACCTTTTAGCAGTGATGCAGCAGGCAGCTGAGCCAGCACTTGCCTGAAGATATCTGCAGCATAAACTGAGGAGGCAGATACTGGCTAACCAAAGAAGTAATCCAAAAGTAATCATATTACGTTACTCATTTCGAGAAATCCAATGGATTACATTACTAATTACTTATTGTTATGTAATCTGTAATCAGTCACTGATTACATTTTTCAAGTGATCCACCCAACCATAGATATACAGTACAGTGAGCTCCAAAAGTATTGGGACAGTGACACATTTGTTGTTGTTTTGGCTCTGTATTCCAGCACTTTGGATTTGAAACGATACATTGGCTATGAGATTAAAGTGCAGACTGCTTTAATTTGAGGGTATTTTCATCCATACTGGGTGAACCGTTTAGAAATTGCAGCACTTTTTGTACATAGTCCCCCCATTTTAGGGGACCAAAAGGATTGGAACAAATTCACTTATATGTGTATTGAAGTATTCCTAGCAATGTGTCACTGTCCTAATACTTTTGGAGCTCACTGTATAATATCACTACAAACAGAAAATGCAAAAAAAAATGGATTTCACCATGCATTGATAGCTACAGCGTTTAAAGTAGATACAACATTCTATACCTCTGAGAAGTCTCCATTTTCGGCAGCCTGTATTGCATTCTGGGCAATGTAGTTGCGGAGAACCACGCGTGGGTTGGTGCTGTCCATCACACGGATCCTCTCTTCCTCGATGGTACACACCTCCCTCGTGCCATTACACTCCTTCACCAACCGCTTCCTGGGTCATCGAACACACAGGGGGGATGATGTAAACCATGATTACAGTGTGAAACAGAGGAGGCTGGTGAGGGGAGGACGGCTCATAATAATGAATGGAATGCAGTGAATGGAATGGTATCAAACACATAGAAACCAGGTGTTTGATGTGTTTGAGACCATTCCATTGATTCCGTTCCAGCCATTACTATGAGCCCGTCCTCCCAATTTAAAGTGACACCAGCCACCACTGGTGTGAAACTATACCAAGAAAGTATGGATCAATTCATATATGCTTTAGTATGCAGGAAGCATGCTATTTCTTTCATCAATAACCAAGTAAGTGGTTTTGATTGAGTAGGATCCTCGATCCGGCATCTCCTAACTAACTAACCTGTACTGGCTGACCCAGCGTAGCCAATCCTCTCTCTGCTTTGCCCTCAGCTCATCCTGATTGGTGCTCAGCAGCTCCTTCAGCCTGCTCATCTTCTCCAGCTGATGGGCCACCTCTGGTCGGTCTGTCACCAGGCAAAACATGGCTTGGTTGGTCTGGGCCATAGAGAGGACCATAGCCAGCTCACTGTGTGCAGAGAGCGAGTCAAGAGAGATGTAAAAGATTGAGGGGCTGGATTAAAAACATTAGCTAGGAGAATGGGCAATATAGTGCTAGTTCGCTAATTACTTGGTGATAACTATACGAATATGAATTCATACACTGAGGTGCTACATCTGACATACTTACATTAGCATGTGTAGCTAATATTGCTAGCTAGCTACCTACTTAACCAGACAGATAATAAAAATGTCTAGCAACCTAAAACAGGTCCTTCTGCACTAAAACAGCCTTAACTTACAGATGTAAGTGTGTTGGTGAAGAGAGAGAGAGAGAGAGAGAGAGAGAGAGAGAGAGAGAGAGAGAGAGAGAGAGAGAGAGAGAAAAGAGTCTGAGTGGGGACTTTATATGTTCGGTTGCTGGTTGAAATAACTTATTGTTGTGCAGAGTTAGTCCCCTCTGTATGTACAGGTACAGTATGCCTGTTTTCTGCACAGTTTGTCCCATCCCTCTCCCCATACCTGTGTTGTGCATGAGCCGCAGCAGCTCAGAGACAAGCTCCTGGTCCTCCGGTTCCTTCCACCTCAGTAGGCCCAGCTTCCTCCTCATGTTGGCCAGGTAGAGGGTCTCGTAGAGAGGCATGAACTCGTCAAGGATGGCCCCTGCCTGGGAGGCATGGAGCTCAGAGCCCAGGGTCTCAGCCAGACGAGCGAGGTTCCAACGGCACACGGACGGCTGGGCTTGGTATGAGTAGCGCCCCCTCCGGTCCGACGCGTTGCACAGAAAACTCTGGGTCGAATCTGGAAGATGGGAAGAGATATGGAGTGTTTACCAATAAGCCCTTATGATTAATCAATTGTGTACCATACATGACCGCACAAATTGCATTTTGTTAGCAAAAATGTATAATAAGGAATTTTAGCTGTGTTCTTTCTACCTAATAATACTGTATATTCAGCTTGCCTATAAGTTATTTTGTGAGTTACATACTCATGATACAAGTTTCCATTTCCTGAATGAATATGTTTTGATGTCATTAGGACATCTTGAAGTTCCTGTTGAAAGGGGAAGTGAGGCAGAAGTACCTGTCCATGAAGCCAAAGGGGCCGTAGTCCACAGTATGTCCCAATATGCTCATGTTGTCTGTGTTGAGGACACCATGATATAAGCCAACACATTGCCACTGGGCCACCAGACGAGCCGTCCGCACTGTCACCTGGAAACACAAGGGGGCGCCACAGAGCCAGTTTACAAATGAATGTAATTTTGTCAGTGTGCACTTCAGGGTGAAATGTAATCCCCCTGTATAGTTTATGTACAGTGCTTGAGAATAATTTAAGAATATTAGCAATGTCCATCTGGTACCATTGTTCATATTGATAATAAGTAACACTATCTCATATTTATTATACAAGTAGCAATACAAAGGGTAGTATAGTCATCGTATAGTGATACAGGAACCTCACGTTGAAACTGAAGTTTCAGTGTAGTCCACACCTCTTTGAAAAATTCTGTGTTCCTCTCTTTGCGGTTGCTGTGGTTTCGTTGGATGTCAGGGTAAAAGGTGTCGATGATGTAGTCCACTAGCTGAGCCCGAATGTCGTGGCGCCCTGGACTGGGACCCTGTCGGCCTGAAAACTCATCCTGAGACTGAAAGATCTCAAAGGATCCGAATCTGCACAAGCAAGTCATCATTCAGTAACAAAAGCAGAGTTCATGGCTAGCCAGCTAGTCAGCTAGCCAGCTAGCCAGCTAGTCAGATAGTCAGCTAGTCAGCTAGCCAGCTAGTCAGCTACATCCCGATACTCTTAAATTATTTATTTTCCTTGTTTTCTCTCACCTATGACCCTGATACACCACCTACAGTAAGAAGGCTATCACAGTAATATAATATAGCCAAATCATCTTCAATGGCTTCCTCTCTCTACCACTGAGCACTTGACAAGGGAGAGAAATATTGTATAAATCCATCCGTTCCATTCACCTTCCTACTGTGGTCATCATGAAGGAAAGGAGACAAGGAAAGTAGGCCATTGGTACATATTGTAACAAGGCCCCTGTATCTCGCTACATTGAGAGGAAGAGGGGAACCACCAATAACCATTCACCTGATGAAGGAGGGGGCGATGCGCAGGACCACCGAACACCTGGCCATTGTTGAGGGGGTCTCTGTTGACATAGAGGTCTGATGTCACCAGAGAGGCGGCACGGGTGGTGGGGATGCCCAGGGCGGCCATGGCCTCGCTGCACAGGAACTCCCGGATGCTGGAACGAAGGACCTTCCGTCCGTCTGACTCTCTGAGGGGGATGAGAGAAGAGGAGGAGAGAGGAGGAGAGAGGAGGAGACGGGAGGACCGAGGAGGAGAGAGGAGACGGGAGGAGAGAGGAGGAGACGGAATGAGAGAGGAGGAGACTGTGAAGGAGACGGGGGAGGAGGAGGGAGGACGGAGAGAGAGGAGAGGAGGAGGAGGAGGAGGAGAGGGAGGAGAAGAGAAGACGGGAGGAGAGAGGAGGAGACGGGAGGAGAGAGGAGGAGACAGGAGGAGAGAGGAGATGGGAGGAGAGAGGGGGAGACGGGAGGAGAGAGGAGGAGACGGGGGGGAGGAGAGAGGAGGGAGCGGGAGGAAAAGAGGAGGAGACGGGAGGAGGAGAGGAGGAACGGGAGGAGGAGAGGAGGAGACGGGAGGAGAGAGGAGGAGACGGGAGGAGAGAGGAGGAGACAGGAGGAGAGAGGAGGAGAGGGGGGAGAGGGGGGAGAGGAGACGGGAGAGAGAGGAGGAGATGGGAGGAGAGAGAAGACGGGAGGAGAGAGGAGGAGACGGGAGGAGAGAGGAGGAGACAGGAGGAGAGAGGAGATGGGAGGAGAGAGGTGGAGACGGGAGGAGAGAGGAGGAGACGGGAGGAGAGAGGAGGAGGAGACGGGAGGAGAGAGGAGGAGACGGGAGGAGAGAGGAGGAGACGGGAGGAGAGAGGAGGAGACAGGAGGAGAGAGGAGGAGACGGGAGGGGAGAGGAGGACAGAGGAGGAGTACAACCATAACATGGATTAGGAATAATAATAAAGAAAGGATTAGAAATGGTCCTCTTGCCAGGTAATAGTACTACCAGCTGTACTGGACAACATCTGTTTGATATGACTTCTTTTTACAGTGTAGTTAGACCTACATGTAACGATGTAAAGACATGATGATTCTACGTGACTACATGCACATGATAGCTGTGCAACGAAGGTAAAGTGTGACCAAAAGGTGTATTGGTCCCGGAATCAATGATGAGTGATAGCTATCTGAAATGCATAACATTATTGGTCTTTGGGTACAAATCCAAAGAATAGAAGTAGACCTACTCAAGCAGTAGTACCAGACACTAGGTGGGCCTGGCACAATTCAGATGCCTGTGCATTGTTTAGCACTGCAGAAGGAGTTGAAGTGTGCCAAGAAGTTGATCTCTTAAGCAGCTCTGCAGCTGTTGTGCAATTGCCTCACATGCACATGACTCTAATCTAGGCATGGAAGACTTGGCTGGGATGCCAGATCCATTGAGTCAGCAAATACTATTTTGGTACCTTTGCAAGGCATTGGAAAAACATTTTCCCGGGTGAGTAATCTGGTCAACCACCATAATTTGACAACACCCACTACGAGGAAGAGAATCAAATGCACAGTGAGTATTGGAGGGTAGAGGATAAATGGTGAATGTGAGATCACATTAGGGAATGTATTGGTTGTACACAAGATAAATTAGGGGGCGGGTGTTGAAACAACCTATAATGGGAATAGATGTCTATTTCAAATGATTAGGGGAAACAAGACATTTTGAAGGCTGTTCCCCCGCCTACAAAATCCCTATTTAATTCCTGGTTGTATAGATGGTTACTTTTTGTATGATAGACTTCCATAGGTCTGAGTTACTTCATATTCAATATCAAATCGATGTCAATTGCCATTCTTATTGCAGTTTGATTAACAACAATGCACCTTGTGAGGAATTGCGATAGTTGTACAAAAGGAATCACTGCGGTAATGATGATTTTAAGGCTGTCAAGGACAGCTTCATGCTTATGTGACAGCCCAACCAATACACTATATCTGTGTCATGCCAATGCTTTGGGACCATTACAGAATCGGTGTGTAGATGAATTTGTGTATATGCTAAATATAACAAAGTGGTTATTGTCACAGTAACTTGCAAACCGAAACCAGAAAAGGATGACACATTCCCATCATAATACACCAAATGGAGGTAAATGATCACAATTACATTATAGACATCGATCTGGTCTTTTCAAAAGCTTAACCTGACAATTTATCACAGAATGTTGGGAGTGTATCATCATAAGATGAATATGTATCACAAAATATAACTGCACAAACACTTAAAAAATGTATATAAATGTATACATGGAACTAGCTCTGTCTGCTGTAGCAATTTGGACATTAGACATCTTCCATAATGGTCAACTGACTGTCAAATATTGATATACAAGACAAATATCACCACACTGAAAATGGTATAGTCAGTACACTCTTAGAAAAAAGGTGCTACCTAGAACCTAAAAGGGTTCTTCGGCCGTCCCCATATGAGAACACTTGGAATAACCCTTTTTGGTCCCAGGTAGAACCCTTTTTGGTTCCATGTAGAACCCCGTTCCACAGAGGGTTCTACATTGAACCCAAAAGAGTTCTATCTGGAACCGAAACGGCTTTTCCTATGGGGACAGCCAAAGAACCCTTTTGGAACCCTTTTTTCTAAGAGTGTATGGTCAAGTCTAACAATCATACTGTTCAAATATAACAGTAAATATTACATTTCTCTGTGCCGAATTATTTTTCAAGAAACAACCAAATGAGTTATTATGACTTATAGCACAGAATAAAATAACACTTTGTTTCACTGCACATCTTGTTAAACAGTCGCTCCACACATATATTACATTATATGTTCAGTCTTCACATTTCTTAAAGGGGCATGTTCATAAACAGCAGGCAGTATATTTACAGTCATGTCAATTGTCGGTCTTCACAGACCATGTATATACAGTAAATACCTCAGGATTGTTGGTCGGAGAAAGAGATGGTGAGTGGATGTGAAAACGAGCAGGTATGTCACAGCTAACCTCGCTCTTGGGTTAAAGTAGTGACACTACACTGTCAGAGACAGAGTAAAAAGATATGTCCTCCATTTTCCTCTTCCACACACGATCCCAAATTTGAAGTTAGAGGCATTGTACAGTCCAAATGGTATTACTCTCCGATGGGTTGATCCCTAGTCAATGTCCAGGGTTGCCTCACTCTCTTTATTAGTGTGCGACTGGTCGGTGTGGTCTTGGTTGCAGGCGGTTAGCTAGTAGACAGGCCATGGCGATGCCGCCTAACTGGGTGAAGGCTAGCCCTAGCACGGTGGCAGCAATGTGGAAGACGTTGTCGTTGACAAAACTGAAGACCTTCCGGAAACATCCGTGGGGATGGATCCCAGCAGCCGCGACCCCTTCGCTGTCCACTGCTGGTAAGGGTCGGTTCCTGCAGCCCTTGCGTCGCACGCAGCAGCTGTCGGGTAGCGACACAGAGGAGCCATTGCCCATGGGCGAGAAGGCTGCATCCTGATTGGCCCAGTCGGAGGTCAGCCAATCGGCCCAGCCCTCGGCCCCGCAGCACTCTAGCACCCTCTGCAGGCTATCCAGAGCGTTGGAGCTGCCCTCGTCTTCGCCATAGCCTGCCACTGCCCGCTGCAGTCCGCTACGGAACCCTCCGGCGATGTCCTCGCGGTAAAACAGACCCGAGAGGCCGGCGGCTAGCCCTGCCATCAGTGCCGCCAACTGGATGAAGCCATATGCCCGCAGCACGAAGGGTAGGTTGGCGGCCACCCCCAGACAGCCCAGGAAGCCCCAGGCCGTGACGGTGGCCCCCGTGGCCAGAAGGATGAGCGGGGCGTTGGGGTAGCGGTTGGCCGACAGCAGCATGTAGTCGGCCAGCGATACCTGGGCCCACACGCCCAGGGTGAAGACGGCCAGACCGGCCGCCCAAAAGAGGCAGCTGAAGGCCAGCAGGGCCAGGCGCAGCAGGGGCATGACGCCTACTGGCCGGCAGCAGGGCAGGGGTCCGCCCACGCGGGGAGCTGGGGGCGCCATGGAGGCCTCGGAGCACAGGGACAACGAGAGGCGCTGTTGGTGCTGCTGCAGCTGTTCCTGGTGCTCCTGCTGTTGCTGCTCCTGGAAGGGCGAGAGCAGGTACCCGGGGAGTGCCGATGGCCGCCGAAGCCCAGTAGAAGTGTTGAGGAGGCTCAGCCCTCTGGGAGAGGAGAGCCTCCGCACCGCTAGCTGCTCACGTTCCCAGTCCACCGCTCGCCTGGGGCTCAGCCGAGCGGGCAAGGAGTCGTAGGGCAGTGCACAGCTCATAATGACCGGTTCAGGCTTTATCTCTCTCTCTCTCTCTCTCTCTCTCTCTCTCTCTCTCTCTCTCTATCTCTCTCTCTCTCTCTCTCTCTCTCTCTATCTCTCTCTCTCTCTCTCTCTCTCTCTCTCTATCCTCCCCTCTCTCCTCCTGTTCTCCCTTCTTTCTCCCTATGAGGCAACCCCTCCCCCGTTCTTTACAACTGGCTGTTAACCCACCCCCCCCCTTCCGTACCCCCACTTCACTGTAAATCTCGTTGACGGAGGCGTCGTGTCGTGGTGTTATCTGCATCCGCAGCCCCCCTCTTTCTGTCTTATTTATCTGTTTATTTCGGGCATTCCTTCCACCTGCGTGGTCACCAGAGCTCCATGTCACTATGGTGAGTGCCGCATCCTCTTGCTCTATGGTCAGCGACAGAGGTGTTTATGATGGCTAGGACTCGGAAACCACCCACGCACCCCCTCTCTCGGTGCGGAGGAGTCTCTTGTCAAGATTTTAGTACCTACTCTGGTCGATTTGTAGCATCAACGAGCCGGCAAGAAAGTCCCCTATTCTGGTATGTGCTGTATTTTGTGAATATCATCCCAAGAAAGACACATGCACTCACATGTAGGATATTCTGTTGAGATAAGGCAAGTGGCCGACAACCATTTTGTGAACTAATATCAGTCCAGGACCTATATTGACATACACAACAACAACAAAAAATTATGCACGCATGACTGTAAGTCGCTTTGGATAAAAGCGTCTGCTAAATGGCATATTATTATTATTATTATACTGTACTTTATGGCACTTGGAATGGGATTGGATGGCGATAAAAAATAACGCAACTAGAAATACAGTATACTAGATCTGATCAACTGTATTAGATAACGAAACACAACTGGTTACACGTCCTTACATAGGCTATATAATTGTTTTGTTGACAATAGCCCGACCATTCCCATAATATCCTGCAAAATCCATGCAAATCAGAGGTCCCAGCAGAAATTCTGCTACAAATGATATGGTGTCAAAGGAGAGGCATGTCCCCTACCCTTCCCATAGATATTAGCGATCATTACCAAAGTTAGCTTTTGTTTAGCTGGCGTGCTATAGCTTCAGTTACTTTGTCCTACTAGCTTCCATTTTTCGTAACATCTGAGTAATTTACTATGAGATTACAACAACAGTCCCTTTTGGATCCCCTCTACCCTCGCGATACGCTTCAGCCATTTTGTGAACAAGTGCATGAAAAGGGTAATGTTTTAATTGGAATTAGACCGGAGGTGATTTTGATAGTCAATGGGAAACCAAATACAGCTAAAGGGTTTGGTGGGGTAATGGGCTTAATGGCCTGACTGCCATTAACAACATGGAACCATTAGCCAAGGTAAAGGTCTCAGTTTGATGTCATAGCCCCACCAATATATCATGGTATATCCTCCATCTTGGGCTTCCTGGACACATTTATATACTTTCCCCTCTGAGTTTGCTGCAAATAGCACTGACTCTGTTTTATATCTATTTTTCAGAAATAACATTTGTTTACAGTGTTTAGTCATGAAAGAGAGGAAATAAGCCAAATATAGACTCCCAATTCATGGACCAAAGATATCTCCTTCTCTCAGGTGCTGTTAAATGGTAACCCGTTGTCCCCGGCTGGAATGAGTGCATCCCTCTCAGACATTGGTCATCCTCTTTCTCCTTCTGCGTCACACACACACACACACACCCACACACACACACACACACACACACACACACACACACACACACACACACACACACACACACACACACACACACACGTGCCCACACACACACACACACACACACACACACACACACACACACACACACACACACACACACACACACATATGCACGCACACACGCACATACATATACACACACACACACATGCACACACACACATATACATGCACACACACACACACACACACACACACACACACACACACACACACACACACACACACACACACCACTCACACACATACACACACCAATCAGGGTTCATTAAAGCCCCTTCCGCTAATTAAACACATTCGCGCAATGAAGGCGTCGTTTGAAAAGGACAACCATCCATCAGGGGGGAGGGGCAGAGTAAAGTGGGGTGCCAGGGGAGAGGGGGAGAGGGACAGGGGAGAGGGGCATACCTTAGAGGGCCATTTACAGTTTTTTTCAATTGCTAACAAGCATCGGTCAATACTTAAGCCACTTTTTCAAAACTCTTCACACAGTCTGCATTACCAACATGCATCTTTGCCAAACAGTTAATCTCACCTCCAAAACTCACTCAAACCACCAAAACATTTCATACATGTCTCAAAATAAATTGGTTATTGAACAGATATCTTACCTAGACATATTGATACCGGAGTTCTTTCACACGTTCACCGTTTCTCTCAAAGGGTACAGTGTACAACTGCTTCATCCTTAATTTATGTTTCTCTAGGACTCTGGAAATTGTCGTTGTGCTGACCCTTATCTCATCAGAGACCACCGCTCTTGGTCTTCC